CTCCCTCTCTCCCTCTCTCCCTCTCTCCCTCTCTCCCTCTCTCTCTCTCCTTCCTCCTTCTTCCTTTTCCTTCTACTAGAAGGGTGAGCTGAGAGGAAAGGAGAACTCAAAACCCAAGAGAAGAGGCTGTGGGGTACCCCAGGGATTTGCTGCTAATGTGGGAGGGGTCTAGAAGGGGTTCTCTCTCTCTCTCTCTCTCTCTCTCTCTCTCTCTCTCTCTCTCTCAGGACTCCTGGTCCTGTCTGATTGTGAGGAGCAGCCTCTTCTGGCTCTCTTCTGGCTCTCTTTTGGCTCTGGGGGAAATGTAGTGTGCAGTGTTGGGGGGGGTAATGGATTGAAAAAATAAAATAAAGCGCAGCCGAAATGCTTTCATGCACTAGGGACCCAGGACCCCCTCCTTCCCTATGACATCATGTGATGTTTCCCAAAAGAGACTGGAACCGGGGTAGGGGAACCAAGGAGAGGAAAGGATGGCCCCTGCAGGGAGAGCTGTCCCCACTGAGGATTGGAGACCCATGGCGGGAAGGAGGGAGGAAGTTCAGGTGCTCACAACCCTTCTCTGCCGACAGAAGCACCTGCGGGTCTAGGAGGCAACCGCTGCGGTTGGCAACTGGCGCACGGTCTTCCCTGGGAACTTGGCTCTTGGAAAGTCCTAGAGCTCTGAGTGATTAGCCCCAGGCTGTCACTTGGCACTGGGACCGGCTGCAGTCTTCCCCACCTCCTCTGCAAACCCTTGTATCTCTGGTTTTATAAACTCACTTCCACCCCTTACCCAATCACGTTCACAAACAGGACACACCGCTCAACATGCACACACACACACACACACACACACACACACACACACACACATTTTCTTATTGCTAAACAGGATGCAAGGAAATACATGTTGGCAACTTTTATTTTCTTTTTCTTAAGAAGAAAAAAGATAGAATTAAGTTTTCTCTTTTTCTTTCTCCTCCCCCAACCCTTAGACTCTCAAGGGTTAAATGTCAAGTTAAACAATTATCCACTTACCCGCCAAAGTACGCTGAAGCCCCAAACTGCTTTCCACTTCATTTTGAGTTCAGAAATTCAAAAGGGGGCGGAGGAGGCAAGTCGCTGGGGAACGGTGGGTCCAGGTTCCATCCAGAGCTGCGCAAAACAAGTTGCCAAACCTGGGTGGCCCAAGTTCAGGACCAGCCCAAGAGGCTGGCATCCTATCCATGCAGCAGACTTACTCCAAGGGCGTCGGGTGCCTGGGGTTTCTGCGCTGGTCATCTCTCTGAAAGGACAGAGAACTCTAAGGCTTGTCTGATGCTCCTGTCCTCCTTCCTTCTTTCTGGGGTCCTGGGGAAGGCAGCAAGGAGCGCTCTAGGCGCCAAAGAAGACAGGTCCATCTCAGCTCAACCTCTCTGAAGCAACTTCAGACCCACACACCTAGGAGCAGAGTGTGTGCGTGAGTGTGTGCGCGTGTTTGCACGCGCGTGTGTGTGTGTGTGTGTGTGTGTGTGTGTGTGTGCCCGCGAGTGTCCAGCCGGTTGTGCCCGTGCACTTGACATTTGGGGAGTGCATGTGCTGTGAGGAATGACTCTCCCCGGCTGCTGGAACTTAGAGAGTTTTCCTTTAAGCCAGCGACGCGGCTGCTTGACACCCCCCCTCCCCCCTCCCGCGTCCAACAGGAGGCGATGACGTCTGCGGCCCCGTTGCCAGAGCAGTCCCCAGGCTGCTGCTGCCTGTTCATTGACAGGAGCAGGCGCTCGGACGTCAGCAGCCAGACCTTTGGCGACGTTGCTCCCACGGAGACAGCTCCCACCCCCGCACCTGCCAGCCCGCGGAGGAGGAGGGAGTGAAATCAAAGCCACGGAGGAGGGGACAGGGGGCGACGCTGGGGCTGAGGAAGGGGGGTGTGGGATGTGCCCTCTTTGTCCTGCAGCCCCAGAACATATAAATAGTGCAGTCTCCAACCAGACTTGCACCCGCTCTCGCACACCCCCGCGCCCCTCTCCAGACCCCCTCCCCCCTTGTCACTTTGTGTCGCGCTTGCTCCGGGAGGGAGGCAGAGGGCGGGGAAGCAGGGAGTGGAAACAGACGTTGGTTTTTTCCTCTTCCCATTCATAGATTCGGCTGGAGTCATGGGGCCTCCTCTCTGCAATGAATGGATGGATGCCTGCGCGCGCTGGGACCACCAGGTCCACAGAGGCGTCGCCAGCACTGGGGACGCTCTTCCCACCAGGGATCAGGCACCTTTGCCTGGGCACAAGGAGAGACTCCAAACCACCACCCTCTCCCTCCCCTCCCCTGGGTTAGTTCCCCCTCTTCCCTTATGATGCTGGGACACAAAACTCCAGCGGTAGGGCTCAGTCTGCACCCGGAGACCCTGGGTGGGGTAGACCGGCGACATTCTGCAACCGGAACAATCCCAACAGCAAGGGAGGCAGGCACGAGGCGCAAAGCAGTTGGTCATGGGGACAAAGGGGTTGGTTGCTGGATACCCAAGACCTCTCCGTCCCCACCTGAACACTCAAGGGCGCTCTGCACCAGGGAGAAGGGAACACTCTGCGGATGCGGGGTACTGCAGCGCGGATTCCCCACTCTGGGAATCCTTGGGCACTGGCTACTGGCTGCCAGAGCAAGAGGCCCCACACAGGACCCTGCGGGATCGCAGCTGCGCATCCCTCCCGGTGCACTGTCCAAGTGTCCATCGCAGGAACCCAAAGGATGAGTGTTCCCAGCACACCAGGGCACTTCATAAATGCATCCCATGGGGCTGCATGGCTCCAGCGGTGCTGAAGTGAATCTGGGGCCATTCAGTACCCCAGAACAGATGCACAGGTCTGGGGACTACAGAGCCCAGGACAGTGGGAGCCAGCTCCCCACACAGTGCCCTTCCAGGCCAGGCATGGGGAGGTGGGTGGGATAGGAAGGGTACCCACTCCCTCAGCCTTCTCCCCTAGTGATCCCACCCCAGAAAAGACCACACAGTGAGAGTCCAACCTCTGCGCTAGCAAAGAGAAGCCCTTCTCAGCCATCTCCTGGGCCCTTCCTGTTATACACAGAAAGGACAGAGGAAAGCCCTCTTGACTCCACCTGCTCTAGGGTTCCCTTCTCTGTTTCCCTTCACAGCAGGCAAGCAGGTGCATCCACAGGACTCCCTCTGGCCCTCCCATCTCACCCTGCTTTGGACCATCCCCCAAAACACTTTCCTGGGTCAGCTGTGGCCAAGCAGTGCCTGTTCCCTCAGGTCCATGGTGGGTCAGGCCTTCCTCCCCTCTCTGGTACATGGATACCTAGAACACATTTCCTCCTGTCTTTCCTCTGTAAGTAACCTTCACTTGCACATTGGCTCTGCCCAGCATTTGACTTTTCCTGCTGAACCCTCTGTCTTCCTAGCTTCTTGATGTTGGGGTGTCCCGGGGTCATCACCTCTTCCTCGCTTGAAGCTCTCACTCGGCCTGGTGGCTTTAAATGATGCTTTGCATGTTACATTTAGCCTAGATCATTCCCTCCTGAAGCTTGAGACTCGGGGAAGCTATTAGCTCCCACTGGGTACCCAGAAAGTCTCAAGGCCACCAGTCAAGGCCAACTTGGTACGTAGATACATCTTTTCCATGCCATCCTCAAGCCAAAGGTACTGGAGTAAGGTTAACCCTGTGATCTCATTCCATCTGTCACCTATGCTCCAGGGACTTCTCACTACTCCCACAACCCCTCCCAAGTTGCTGCTGTCTTTCCTTTGGAACACCACCTGCAGATCAAGTTCCATATTATAGCACGAGACCATCCAGGTTCTCAACTGAGTCCTCATGATACTGCACCACCCAGCAACAACCAAAGCCCTCTGAGCATCTACAAGGCCCTGTAACCACTCTACAAAGCCACACTGTCCCTCTCTTTTCTCCTTGATCCTGTGCCCCCAGCTGTGATCGTTAATTTTGACTGTAACTTGATTTAATTAATAAACACCCAGGACATTACTGAGGCTTTGGGGTGTTTCTCTGAGTGTGTTTCCAGAAAGGATTAACTCAGACGATAAAACCCACCCTGAGTGTAGGCGGCATCACCCTACAAGCCAGTGTCCCAGACTGAAGGACAAGGTTGGAAGAGAAGAAAGGTTTGTGCCCACGCCCCGTTTCTCCGTACCCTGGTTTGCACCATGGGCCAATCCCTTTCTGCTGCCCTGTCTTCCTATCATGATACACGGTACTTTCCTGAATTATGAGCCATACACCATGGGCCAATCCCTTTCTGCTGCCCTGTCTTCCTATCATGATACACGGAATTATGAGCCATAACACAGTCTTCTTCCTTTAAGTTACTTTTTAAATGGGTTTTATGGGGGAAAAGTAACTAATGGAGTTACCAGATGCTAAGAAGTAAAGTCGTTGCTAAGATCAGCTGAATCACATCTTCTTAGGCTGAAGAAGTGATTTGTGGGAGTAATGTAGACGACTTTGGCAATGCAGGGTACAGAAGCCCTCAAATGCTATTGGCGGAGCTTACTGGGTGATTCTAGTGGAAACTCAGGATGTCAGTGGAAAAGTGGACAAAGACTGTGCTCCTGGAGTTTCAGAGGGGATTAAGGGCTCTATTGGGGCTAGACTAAAGGCCATTTGTGCTGCATTCTGGTAGGTAATCTAGCTATATTCTGCATGTGTCCTAGAACTTTGAGTGAGTCTGAATTCTAAGGCAACAGAAAAAGTTGTTTGATCAAGGAAATTTCAAGACAGCATGACACTCAGCCTGTGTCATGGTTATTGCTCACTACAGTTACCCAGATTTACAGTGAGAGAGGCAGAAAGGGGCCGAAATGTGGTTTGCTTCTGAGTCTGGTTAAAGTTGAAGACAGGATGCATACAGACACAGTGGCTGGAATTGTTTCAAAGATTAGCAAATTAAAGAAAACCCACAGCTCCACTAGAATAGGAGTTGTGACTCCAATCGATCAAAGGCTCCAGGGAAAATTTATTTGAAAGAATGCCTGAACAGAAAGGGATCAGGCATTCAAAAACAATCTCCCAAGAAAATGTTCTCCCAGGTTCAACTTCCCAGTCACTCAGAAGCTGCTGGCTGCAGCTGTAACCTGAGGGAAGGGAGATGATCTACAATGTGAGCTGGCAGGAGAACGTGACAATACCCATATGGTGCTGGGTTTGAGGGCACACGAAATGCAGGAGTTACAGATCCCTAGAGGCTTGCATCCAGTTCCAGAATGATACAAGGTCAGGAAACATGGGGGTGGGTTTCCTGCACCGAGGCTGTTTGTCCTGTTGGGTTTTGGTCTTCCTTTAGGTCAATCTTTCCTTTCTGGGTCCCCCACTCTTCCCTTTTGGAATGAGAATGTTTACCTTGTTGCCATTGTACATGGAAATATGCAACTTCTTGATTTTACAAGGGTTCACAGTTAGGAGATTACCTTAGACTCACAGCAAACCTTAATCCAGGCTTTTGAACACGTTTGTGAGGGTATATGTATGTGCTCAACTTTGGGTGGTTTCCTCAGTTGGTCTCTCACTGAACACAGAGCTCCCCAACACTAGGATTCTGTGTACTCCTGGCCATGCTCAGCTTGTTCTGTGGGTGCTGGATCTGAACTCCGGGCCCTGTGCTTACACAGCAAGCGGCGTACCAACTGACATATTTCCCCAGCTCCCTTCTTCCCTCCCCTCCCATCCCCCTATTGGTCTTTTCTTCCCAAGCCTGAGACCAGCCATGGGCCCAAGGACTGTACCACAGGAGATAAAGTTGTCTCTGAGCAGTGCTGCCCTTATACACAGTCCTGTGTCAGTGTGCTCAAGTCTCTTCTCACCAAACAAGGAGAGATTCAACAACCACTGAGCTTTCCAGGCCCCAGGCATGAAGTCCTGGAATTCCCGCTCACAGCTCTCTTAACTGTGTGGAAGAGAAGAACCAGGTGCAGCTGCCCAGGGAAAGCTGTAACTACTCAGGGGAAGGCCAGTAGGTAAGACCCTGCAGGGGCTGTCTCTGGGCTGGGGTATGCAGGCCTGTCATGGGTGCCAGGAAGACAGATAAGGGGCCTTCAGACCATGCTGAGGAGTTGGAACTGTACCCTGAAGTCCTGAAGGGTTTTAAGAGAGAGATGAAATAATATCCTATGTGTTTGAGAAAGAAGATTGGTGAGTGGCTTAGCAGATGGCCCAGATGGTCAGAGGAGTCACAGGAAGAGACTCTGGGTCAAAGTGGACCTGTCAGTGTGTGATGACAACACGTCAAGGCCAGGCAGAGGAAAGGACTTCCTGAACACGTAGGCACTTCCCTCTTTCCCTGGGTAGGAAGTGAAAGAACTTAAGTTGGTCTTCACCAGGATGTCAAGAGAGCAGACACCGTATCACACTGGCGTTCTACTGGGCGTCAAGGTAGTAGATGAGGCTTATGGGACTGTGGCCACCTTGCATATCTAGAAACAGCAAGTTATTGACTTGACCCCAGCAGAGCAGAGTTGGAGGAGCCTGAAGAAGACTCACAATAGATGGATCTGTGAGTGAGACCAGCTGGGCCCATCACTGGGGCAGGGCCGGGGGGGTAGTCTTTACAAGGATAAGGACCTTTCCCCACATTCCAGCCTCCTTGTCTCCTGCCTAAGTCGCAAATGTATCAAATTGTAAGGTTCTTGAGGGGTGCAGCGGACATCTCATCTAAGCCATAGGAAGAGTAACACAGTGGTGTAAGCCACACTGCTTTCTGAGAATATTTCCTTACTCCCTCCAGGCTAGGGTGGCCAGGCACTGTGTGCATGGTCAGCTTCTGCTCACTCCTGATGCTCTCTTTGCTGTCCCCCTGCGTCCTCCCCCCATGTCCTCTTCTTCCTCCCCCCATGTCCCCTGCATCCTCCCCCCATGTCTTCTGCGTCCTCCCCCCATGTCCCCTGCTTCCTCCCCCCATGTCCTCTGCATCCTCCCCCCATGTCCCTCTTCTTCCTCCCCCCATGTCCCTCTTCTTC